CATTTCTAAATTAACCACAGCAGGTATCTTCTCATATTTTAATGAGAAACAAAATGCAGATTCTGCTGCTGATAACGTTTCAGTGAATGTTCCTGGTTGGCTCTGGTTGGAGAACATGGGTCCAGGTCTGTGAACCAACCCTCCAACCAACATGGTGACCAACACAACGACACACCGAGTTCAGAATAAATAAAATAGTCTTTGACCTTTCCGAACAGTGGATGCGTGAGCAGCTATGTCATCCTGCCTGCCTGTCAGCTGATGACAAATATCTTTTCTTCCTCCAGTGTCACAGGGCTCTTATATTCCATTTCACAATCCAAGGCTGCGGACCTTTTCACGCCGCTTCCCAGCAGCCTGCTCGTATTCACTTCCAGCAAATCCTTCACGGGCTCACGTGTTCTCCAACGTCTGGAAGATTTGTGGCTCGGCCTGGACATAAGTTAATCAGCTAAACGCCACGTGGTGTCTGCATCTCTAAATTGAAGCGCTTTAGATATCAATCAAATTGTTTTCCGGGGAGGACAGCGGTCGGGACGCGAGGGTTTTTGGCACGACAATCCTTTTGTGGGGCTGAGAGGCAACAGGGGAGGAGTGACATTAGGCGCTGTCACCCACATGAAAAGAGATTTACGACCGTGTCAGAACCAGAGAATTTCATCCGTTTGACAGCTGACAGAGCGATCGATCACCCCGCCCATCACACCACTCAGCCAATGAGACGAGAGAAAGAAATAAAAGCCATCATTACTTATCCAATAATGATAATTTAATATATAAGATTCCTTTTCAGACGTGTGAAGTTGGTCTGATTCTGGACATGGTGTGTGTGTGTGTGTGTGTGTTGCTGTCTTTACTGGCACTCACAGTCAGAGCACAATGGAGTGTGTCTGAGTGTGTTCTGTCACATGATCAGCTGTTGGTTTATAACGAGCCGGTGTTTTCGGTCAACATAAGGCAGGGGTGTCAATCTCAAAAACACAGTGGGCCAAAATTTAAAACCTGAACAAAGTCGCGGGCCAACATTGAACAAATGAACCTTTTAATATGGACCGAAACAAATTTTGCTTTAACATTGAATATGGAACAAGCAACGCTTATTACCATACATTATATATAACTTAATAGTGGAGACATGCAAAGTCAAATTATAAATAAAAAAACACATCAGTGGCACAGTGACAGTGTGAAGTCTCTATGCCTACTGTCACAGAGGAGAGGAAGTTTCTGGGTCCTGTCCTGGTTGACGTGTCAAAACAACAACAGGGCATTATGGGATTTGTAGTATTAGCGGTGAATGTGCTGTACAGTATAATACCGGGGGCAACTCTAGTAGTCATTTGGTATTGTCTCGCGGGCCAAATATAGTTACAAAGCGGGCCAAATTTGGCCCGTGGGCCAGAGTTTGACACCCCTGACATAAGGGCACACACATCCTGATGACATGCGTTTCTTGTGTTTGACTCGTTTGGGCAGAGCTGCTGCAGAGCGGACCTGTAACTGGTCTGGACTCAGTCCCACTTACACTCTGGCAGCGAAACCGTCTGAAACAAAGAACGGAGGCTCCAACATGTGTATGAACACAAACACACACTCTTGTACACACTCCTTGCACGCATATCATCTGTCTGACTAAACCAACAGTCTCAGTGGGCACCTACGCTTCCCTCTTTTGATGTTTAATTAAAACCGTATCGGGGGGAGGGTGGCGGCGTACATGGCGCTCTGTTTTGAAAAATATGCAAATGTCAATAAAAATGCATTAAAGAAACATACTACCAGTCGCTGACGGCTGCGATGCACACTGGAAGGGAGGAAGGATGGAGAGAGAAAAGTAAATAACTAAACAAACAGCGAGGGGGGGGCGGGGGTGCTGAGACACCATTTGCCAGAAATAATGAAACAGAGCAAAACATATAAGAGCTCGCGTTGCCATTTCCACGACTTAATTTATTCACAGCTCAGACGGCCGAATAATGCAAATGAGTTGTGGTGCCTCCTGACGCTGACGACTGGAGATAACTTTGGTTTCCAGCTACGCCCCGAACCCCGCAGGATGGACACATCTCGCTTCGTGGGCTGCTGTTGCAACAACAACGACAACATGGACAGCAGCTCAACAAAATCACAGCAATCTCCTCGTTTGAGGTAACGCGACACCAAGCAGCACCAGCAGCAGATGACTCCTGCTTTGTTATGCAGCTTTACGAGAAAGAGCAAATGGAAGGAAACACTTCTAGTTCTGGTTCAGGCCTTCAAACCACCTCTAAAACGATCAGGGATGCACTTGGACTAATACACTGTATATGTTAAGGTTTTAAAAGACTTCCCCAATTATTGGAGTGAATCTCCACATTAAACCAGCCCTCCATCGCTGGGAATAGTAAACAGACAGACCGAGTGTGCCGACGCCTCGTGCAGATTGGGTCTGAACGTTTTATGATATGAGCTGAACTCCTGCCAACCTTATTTCACAGCGTTCGTCTACTTGAGTGGAGGGCTGAGTTCACTGTGCTTGGGGGGGAACTTATCTCTTATTGAATCTTTTATTTCTGTTCATTCTTCTTTTATTAGCAAAGTGCATTTTGTAATATATTCAGCTGGCAGGCGTCTTACTTCCACCAGACAGAACGCTGATAATGGGCAGATCTGCATCATCGGATTACGCTCAATGACAACGTGTTTTAATATTCAATGCTTTGAAAATAATTTATAGTTACAGTACCTGCGCTTGACAACTCAGGAGTTGTCCTGGCTCAGAGCGATACGCAGTACAGGCCGTATAGAAGAGATGTAGTTACCATGACAGCGTCAACCGGGGTATGAACGGCCTCCTTAAATCCTCAAATCTGACATTTAGTCACCGTCTTCTTTTGAAACTGACGTGATGAGCAAGGATCTGGCTGAGCTACTACGCATGGTAGCAGCATCTCAGTCACCAGACAGCCTGGCTGAAAACATACCCCACCTTGTCTTTTATTTTACACTCTATGGGAGGATGATCTACGGAACGAACACCATGCTGGTGTTCAGAAAGCCCTGGAACTAGCAAATGAGACCATGAACTTATGTGGAAAATGTTTACTGAGGTAACAAGCAAGGTCGTTTTCTCACAAACTTTTGCACAATCTCACTTCTTGTGCAACGAGAACAATCGCCTCCTGCTGGCTGTTAGAGAGAATGAAGGTTTAAGCTACTTCTTGAGACGAGGTCTCCTGTGTGACGGTGTGATGAGCTACATCAGGGGTGCCCAATCCTGGTTCTCGAGAGCCCCTATCCAGCATGTTTTAGATGTTTCCCTCTTCCAACACACCTGATTCACATGATCAGCTCTTCATCAAGCTCTGCAGAAGCCTGATAACGATCCTGATGATGTGAATCAGGTGTGATGGAAGAGGGAAACGTCTAAAACATGCTGGATAGGGGCTCTCCAGGACCAGGATTGGGCACCCCTGAGCTACATGCACCACCCTAACCTCCATCGCTCTATTGGCTGCCCTGCCACACACCAGACACGCCATTCTTCGCTTCGGCCCATTTCACATGAACACCAAGCAGCTTGCCCAGACGCTAAGATGAAACTCCGGCTCTGTGACCTTTGCGGTTAATAGCAGTGTTTATACTGAATCAAAAATCAAGCGACACAATCTTTATGACGAGGTGAGTTCTAGGAGTTGTGATATTCCTGCTTCACTACGACACCCTGTGACAAAAAGGAACAGCCGACATCTACCATCCAGATCGTAGCTACAGTGAACTGAATCCACTGTGCAACATCACCTAAATGTCAAATAATTCAGAATTGTAACACCTTACAGTGATTGCATGGCTTAGCAGCAGGGCATCTATTCAGACAAATTGGAAATCGCAACTATAATTATTTTAATTCCAGTGATAACAGGTTGTCTAACTTGTGTACCAGCGACGGCAGGTCTAGTCACTGTCTTGTTGTTTTTCTATCTTCTCGGGTATTAATAGCGGTGAATGGTAAAGCTATTTTTTAATTTAGTTAAAAGTCTGGAGACAAACAGATTCCTAATGCGGTATTTCTGCTCACCGATGGAAGAAAGAAAATGGAGCTTTGCACTGTTGCAGGCTTTCATATGACTTTCCTGATGATGGAGGAGGAACTGTTCTGGCAGCAGTGAGGTTAGAGGCTGGCATGCACTACAGCATGCATTAAGAAGAGAGTCAGAGGTGAGCAGCGGTTAGGAGGGTAGGGCCAGCACAAGCTTTTCTTTCTTTTTTTTTTTTTGTTACTCGGGAAAGAAAAGCAGCAAGAGCGGGAGACTTCTCCAACCTCACGGATCACATCTTTGCAGGAGGGTAAACAGAAGGAAAAGACATTAATGACACAAAGAGACACACAGACAGAGAAGGACTGAGGGAAAAAGACAGCAGTACAAGACCCCTCCTGTTAGGTCCACACGGAGCAGGGGAAGGCTTCGCCCCTCAGAGTCCGCCTGATGAGGTCGCCCACTGGGTGACCCCACTCTCCACCTGCAGCCAGACAGCCGGGGAGGCGGCCACATGGACAGAGACAGACAGACAGACTGACTGACGCACTGAAACAAGAGAGAATAGCTTTTTTTTTTATACAAGAAAAGCACACAAGACAAAAAGACAAAGACAGAGGAGGAAAAAAACAAAAAAACGACAAGAGCCACTGAAGTGGAAGAGTGGCACTAGTGAAGGAGTAGAAGACAGAGGGCAATGAATGAAACATGAAGGTGGCGTTTGGTTTTGGCTGATGCGTTGGAGATGGAGGGATGCAGCGTGTCAGATGGACGGGAGGTGAACGAGTGGAGGCACGCTTTGTATAAGGAAGGCATCTCGTCTGAGTTACCCAACACCCCCTCACAGAGCATCACCAGCCATGTCAGACACTTTTCAGTAGCTAGCTTGAAGATTCAGGAGGGAAAATACATTTAAATAAGTACGCCAAGAAGAATTCAGCATTAACTCATCGCTTCTCCTTCCTGTCCCCAAGCTCCACTCACCACAGGGCCCTGGATGCTTGACGGGGATGAGGGTCCTGCTCAGACACTCCGCCTTGCGTCGCACACATTCGTTGGTGTAGGTGTGGCCGTCCTTGCCGCACACGGGCTTGTAGGTGCCGTCGCACTCGATGGGATCGCAGGAGCAGCGGGCGTTCAGCTGCTCCACCAGACACACGGCGTTGAAGAGACACTCCTCCTTGCACTCCTCTGGAAGAACACACAAATGAAACCACGATCAGCGGACTGTCCTATCCAGGGACGTGGAACCCTAACCCACTCCCCCCTGTGCCCTGTATGAAAGCATCTCTTATTGAGGTTTTTCCTTTCATTTGTTCAGACGCTGATTAGGCTTTTCAGAGCCGTCTCGGATTCTCTACCCGTGCGCCGACCGGTCACCGCGGCGGAGAGGGCAGAGGAAATACTCAGCAGGTGTGGGAGAAACAACATATTTAATTGATTGTTCTTCCTCCTGTGTGACACACCGCCGGTCCAACCACGAGGAAATGAATCAGTTTTCATCCAAACAGTAATTACGTGACTGATTCACTGAAGGTGAGTGAAAGCTCCTCTTTCAGGAGAGCAGGTTCAGCCTTCAGTGAAAATACATGAAGGAAACACGTCAGAATAATAAAGTTATAAGGGGGACTAACCAGCACATGTAAGAGCCGTGAGCATACAGTGAGGTGACAGAAGAGGTCCCAGGACAACAACTGCATTGAATCACCGTTTGATGGTTTATTCATATTTCATGACTGTGTTTGTTCACAAATGTTAAATTGGTGCAATTCCTCGTATAGAAAGTGACATTTTTTTTTCTTTTTCTAAGAGGGAAGGTGAATTCTGTAGTCCCTGGTATTTATCGAGCACAGGGGTGCCCAATCCTGGTCCTGGAGAGCCCCTATCCAGCATGTTTTAGATGTGTCCCTCTTCCAACACACCTGATTCACATGATCAGGATCGTTATCAGGCTTCTGCAGAGCTTGATGATGAGCTGATCATTTGAATCAGGTGTGTTGGAAACATCTAAAACATGCTAGATAGGGGCTCTTGAGGACCAGGATTGGGCACCCCTGATCTAGCACATGTTAAAACCACTAAACATCAACCAGAGAGGTGACTGAAGGATCCGAACCCCACGATGATCACACTTTACTACAGTAGTTATAGCTGTGGTGATGGTTCAGTTCAGAGAAGTGCTGAAAACAAGCAGACTTGGCAAGAAACTTCATGAAAGGACACCTAATGACTGTGTGTTAACCAAAGAAAACTGCCTGCACCAAGTTTTCTTTGGCTCCCTCCAAACTTTTATAATAATGTTCCTCCATAAAAACTTTATCAAAACGTTGGGGTTAAAGTCGAAACTATTACAGTCATTACATTTGGCCTCACTAAGCAGAAATCCACTGCAGAAATTAAGAAAAAAAGAAAGAAACACTGGTAATGTGAAATGGCAAATTTGCCACTGAAGTGAAAAATTCAATTTGAATCCGGCCTCTGTTCTGGAGGCACCGACTAGACTTTGAATTTATTTCATTCCTGATCAGTGGATCAAATTTGTACAGCAATTCAATTCCTTCTTCTCTTTTCTTTAAAAGCCTGTCATGCCACACTTAATTACATCGCTGCTGTATCTGAGTGAGAGGCCTACAAGGATGAGCAATGCCATGGTTGCGAGTTGAAATGGCCATTTTCATTAGTTACCAATTTGTAATTTGCTTTGGGATATGATTTCATGCATCTCTGTTTCAAATTGAATTATTCTTTCATTTGAAAAAGACGCAGCAAAGACGGGTGGGAAAAAAAAAAGGGGAAATGTTCATCCCCTTGCTCACATGCATGAACATGTTGGCGCTCACATACCGACATCCAACTCACGGCATTAGTTAGGCCGTGATTTGTGCCATTTAAGCCCTCACGGTCGTCTGTCAGGCTGTCAGGCGGAGCAGACGCTGCGCGTTAGCCTTCGTTGCTGCTGGTGCAGAGGCTCGTCCTGCAGTGATCTATTATTGTCGTCGGCATTGTCAGGGGGTCTTAGAGCGTGGGTGGGGGTCCCAACACAGCTGTGGCTTTGTGGGGACTTGCTGACAACACAGCAGGAAAATTGGATTTCCTCCGATGGCTATCAGACGTACAGTAAAAGCTGACAGCTCTTTGTTGACTAAGGCTTAAACTCCGTGTTCTAATAGCACAGATAACAGCCCTGGAAGCTCTTATCAGTCCAGAGGAGGCTAGTGCTAGTAGGGATACCGACTTTAACCCCCAGACCTCGGAGGCATTCATCTCCGGATCATGAAGGAGGATCCGGTTACAGAGCCTAACTTTAACAACGGTCCACCTGCATCTCTTAAAACCTGAACAGAAATGAAGCATGCAGATACGTATAACGACGTGATGCAGATGCTTCACCACTGGAACTGATTGTGATAAATAGGCTCATTTTGAAGTCAATATTAATAAAAACAATAACAGTGACTACTATTTTGGCCATAATGGTGGAGACACAGATGTATGGAAATGTTTCAGCCGTAGACAGGCTGCTGCTGACCAGAAACAGGTTCAGGTCAGTTTGCAGTCGTTGCCACCGACGAGGCAACACATCTAATTAGTGTGAGCAGTGAGAGCAGACCACGACGTTCTGTATGACGAGTGCAGAGCCAGAGCTGATGTGACCCGAAGCGAGGAACTATTTCAGACGCCAGCGTTCACACTCAGAAAGTCTTCACAGTCCATTTTACATAATTGTGTGTTTTTTATGCCGATGTGTCCCTTCGCAGAATCACACCAATTATTCTAAAATGATGAATTCTTTCAAAATAAAACGATTCTAGTCATCTTGTAAAAGTTCCTGTATTTTG